AAAACAATGAGGTATCCTGTGACACCTTGAAGACTAAACAGTTTATTTGGGCATAAGCTTTTTCAACAATCAAGGAACACCATCACCATCATTGGACCTGACCTCATCAGCCGCACTATCAATGGCTCATTCACTTACACGTCTGCTAATGAGATCTGTGCCAGCAATGTCCCTCTGCCATGTACATAGGCCAAACTGGGTAGTCTTTATGCAAAAGAATAAATGGGCACAAATCAGACCTCAAGAATAATATACAAATGCCAGTTAGAGAACATTTCAGTCTCCCCGGACATCAGTGAGAGATTGAAAGTGGGTCTTTACTAGGGATGTCAGTGTGTAGACAACTATATGAGTAACCAATAAGTCTGGGCTTATCTGTTACTCCTGTTGACTATATGCAACCTCCTTCCCCTGTGCTGCCTTTGTATCAGAGGCAGGGAGTGGGAGGGAAGGGGGAGAGAGTAGGAAAGAGCCACCTCTTCCCCTTTCCCCATGCTGCTGCCTCTGTCATTTCATGGGGAGTCCAAGCTCCCTGCGGACGGGGGATGCTCTGTGCTGGAGCAGCCTCTGTCTACAAGGAGCTTGGACTCCCCATGAACAGGGGCTGCTGCTGCCCTGTGCTGTGTAGCAGCGTGGGGTGGCAGGTGGGACGTTATCTACACAGGAAGCTTGTTTGTAAACAGAATCAGCAGCACAGATTTGAAGGGGGCTCCCTGGGAATGGTGCTGGGAGTGCACTGGCTGTTGGCTCTGCCCCTAAGGTCAATTGAATAGTCGTGCAACTGCTAAAGTTGTTGAGGTTACACAATTGAATGTATTCAATTACTTTCTATCTAATATCCCTAGTCTTTGACCACAAAAGCTAATGTCCAAATAAATCCATTATCAATTCTGCAACAGCATTCGTCAAGCAAACTGGAAGTATTTTACCATCTGAAAGTGGTTGTACAAATTGGAGTCAGATTCTGCTGGACCCCACATGGGTGCACTAGGAAATAGGCAAGCACAAGCATCTTCTCTTCTTTCTTGCTTCCTGAGCATTTGCTGGCTTGATTTCAGTGGGGAGCATAGTCCCTGCTCCCTCTTATGTTTTCTATAAGTGTTAATGGTATAAAAGGACTAGGTGGTCCAAGAGGAGAGTGTGGACCTTGGTTTGGTCACTTTTCTGACTAGCCACCAGAGCTAGCTGAGTGCAGAAAGTGCTTTCTAAGAATGGCGAAGGTGCTGCACTGGAAGTTCCAATTGATTTCCTGGTCTTTGAATGGCTGCATTGCTCCTTGCGTTCTTTATAATGTGCCTGAGGAACATTCTGACCCTAAAGTCCTCTTGTGTTTGTCAGGAGAACTTTGAGTGTAGCCTGCCCTATGAGGGTTTTTCTGACTTTAGTGATGTTAATACTACAAGTCTGTTAAGAGCACTACTATCATTTTTTGTTTGTTTTAAAAAAAAATAGTACCGTATTTTAGCAAATATAACCCACGGGTTATATTTGTTTTTACAAGTCTCCCCCTCCCCTCCCCCACGGCGGGGTATACTCGTGTGCGTGGTGTACAAAACCTTTTTTCCTCACCTGGGGGTGAGTGTGGCTAAGTGGGAACCGGGAGGCGAGTGTTTCCCCCGCCGGGAGGCTTGGCCTCTCCGAAAGCTACCAGGGGGGTGAGTGCTCCCCCGCCTGGATCCGGCTCACAGGCAGGCGTCACGGGGCACAGTGCTGGGCAGGCCATGCAGCACGTGCCTTGGAGAATGCCCCCCCCCGGGCTCTGAGAGCCCCTCCCGGCCGAGAGAGGCGCGGCGCGGCCCCACACTAACTAGCCGCGTGGGCACTGAATGGGGCCAAGGCAGTGTCGCCGTTTTCACGTGCACGAGCGAACATGCCTCGGGCTACCTCCGAAAGCTACCAGCTTGTGGCCCAACTGGAGGGGGGATGAGCCTAGCAAAGCAGTGAGCCTTCCTGGCCCGTGGACGGACACGACGGCCCCGAGAGGCCAGTGGAAGCCAGCGCTTGGGTAATTATCCGCAACGTGGAGGAGTCTTCAGCAGAGCCCGAAGGCGCGTTGTCCCAGCGCCCCTGGGTAAACTGCCAGACAGCGGCCCCTCTGCGTTGCGGTGATCAGTGCGTTCGTTAATGCACTCATTAGCAGCTCGGGCAAGACACAGGCCAAGGGCGCGGGAGGAAAATGAAACTGGATGCAAGGCCTGGAAGGGGGAAGAGTCTGGCCAGACGTGGCCCCTG